ACAAACAAACTTCCAAAGTTATATCTAAGTTACCTCCTGGACACGGGAAAAAATAAAACAAACTTTCAAATTTTCAATAAAATAAGAAAACGACATTATTAACCTGTAATTAGCTTTCGAAGCAGTATTCTATTTGAACGAAGCGATATTAAGATGCATATCCAATTAGGGGCAAGTGAATGAAACAAATTCTTACATACCTATATATCATCTGTAATTTCTCAACAGCCCCATAAAGCATTTCACTATAAAGTTCTTCGATATTCGTGACCGGTTTAAGCTTGCACCATTCCCGCCACTTGACGTAACCAGGTAATCCGTGGTCTCGGCCACGTTGGATGTCAGTTGCTAAGATGTCATGTCCAAGAACATTTCGAGAGGACGAGAATAAATAGTGTCTCATCTGATAAAATAAGAATAATGAACGTGTTGCTTTTCTTATATTCTAAACAATAACGTACACTACAAATTATTTGTTTGTTATAGTTCTAAAAAACGATTATTTTATTCGACAAATACTTTGCCATTAAATATTAAAACAATGTATCAGAACCACGATACAGGATACTTTGTTACAGCTTACCAGAACTATGAGCCAAACAGAGCGTCATCATCCTGAACTGGACAACTTACTATTTATTTTCACAATCATGAGAGAGGCATGGTAACTACAGAATATCCTAACCATCGGCCAGACAGATTCATACATAATATCAGAACTACGAGCCAGATACTTTAGTACTGAATGTCAGAGCTACGAGCCAGAAAGTTTGTACTGAGATTAATATTTCTCGATATTCAGGCAAAACTAAACAATACATTAAATATTCAGATATTACGTCTGCAATGACACCAGTACCTCATGGGGATGGTCTTCCAGTGCCACGTCCACCAGTGAATTGGAAAAGAGAAGAGTTATCCTGCGAAGAAGACAATGAATTATCTTCATCTAGTAATTCTATTCCTGTGGCACTTCAATATAAATTGCCTCATCTGATCATATAATAAGAGCTAAATGATCAGATTCGTTACTTGTCTTTATCAAAGCAGCATGGGGAACTTTTTGGCTCTCGTTTACATGAATGGAATTTATTAGCTTCAGGAACAAGAGTTTCGATTTACTGAAGTCGCCATCGAAGTCTACAGCATACGAGATACTTTGTGTTTCTGTACAAATGTTGATGCACTAATGGAAGAATTAGGTACTGAACATCATCCTCAAGAATGGAGACTTTTTATCGACTCATCTAAAGTTAGCCTGAAGGCTGTAGTTTTACACAATGAGAACACTAAGCCATCGATTTCTGTTTCTCATGCTGTAAAAATAAAAGAAACTTATCAAAGTATTTTTACACAATGAGAACACTAAGCCATCGATTTCTGTTTCTCATGCTGTAAAAATAAAAGAAACTTATCAAAGTATGCAGATAATACTTGAGACCATCAAATATAATCACCATAGATGGGACAAATGTGGTGATTTAAAAGTTATTGTACTTCTTCTAAGCCTGCAGTTTGGGTGTACCAAACATTGTTGATTTTTATGTCTCTGGGACAGCCGAGATGATATAATCATTTAAAAAAAGAAGGAATGGCCAGTGAGAGAGAATTACGAATCAGGGAAACAGAATATCGAGTATCAACCATTAAGAAATGCTCAAAATATGTTTCTGACCCCTCTTCATATTAAACTGGGACTCATGAAGAATGTTGTAATAGGAATGAACACAGATGGTAATGGTTTCAGATATCTGTTTGACAACTTTCCAAAAAATCGGTGAAGCAAAAGTTAAACTAGGGTCACAGATTCGGGAAGTGATGATGGATGATGATTTTGAAACAGTACTCAATCAGAAAAAAAAACCTTTCTGCCTAGAAATCGTTGAAACTGGTTGTTAGGGCGCTTGACTCGTAATTTGAGGGTCGCGGGTTCGAATCCCGCATCCCATCAAACATGCTGGCCCTTTCAGACGTAGAGGTGTTATAATGTGACGGTCAATCCCACTATTCGTTGGTAAAAGAGTAGCCCAATAGTTGGCGGTGGGTGGTGATGACTATCTGCCTTCCTTCTAATCTTTCACTGCTAAATTAGGGACGGCTAGCGCAGATAGCCCTCTTGTAGCTTTGCGCGAAATTCAAAACAAACAAACAATAAAATGATTCAAAACTGAAATTGGAGTAAGTGGATAACCAGAGTGACTATGTTATGTTTCCAACGAAAAACTTTGTATTAGAGATAATGAATAAAGAGAAACACTTTTGTTAAACGATTCGTTCAATTTGCATGTTTTGTTTAATCACACAACTACGAAGTGGGCTATCAGCTCTGTGGTCATAGCAGTGATCAAATTACGAATTTTAGCGTTATAAGCTCTCAACTTTACCCCTGAGCCATCTGGAGTGTTTGGAGTTGGTAGTTAGTTAGTTCTATGTATACATCTGTTCTACTGATAATTCAATTTGTCTCTAAAAATATCTGAAAAAAAAAAATGAAAAGAGCAAAGACTCCTTCAGATACAACAAAAAGTTTCATGGTTCTTCAACTACATAAAAAATGGATATTAAAAATTTATTGGACAGTTAAGAATGAGGAAATATTTTAATATTATCATGAAAATAGAAATACACTAATTCAGCACACAAAGGAAGGGCGTATCAAAAGCCTTATGAGTTTTTTAATCGACTAAGTATTTCATGATTAGGAAAGGTTTTACGTGATTATAGTTGATAACATATTTATTGTTTGCCAATGCTTTACGTAGTTATAATTATAACGTGTTTTATTGAAATATTAAATAAATAATACACAACGTTAAAATAGATACACAATTGAAAACTCACTTTTTACCTCAGGACACTTTATCGCCTATAAAATGTAGGTTCGAGATGTTACATAGATTTTAACATTATACACAAGTGCCATGAAAATATCTAATGTGTATACTGTTTGTCAAAGGCTTTGCGGTTATAGCGTTTTCCAATTATAACAAAGTCTTTTTAGGGTTGTACTTAAGAGCGTATTTTATGTTTGACAAAAGCCTAATAGGGTTGCGGTAATAACGTGTTAAGTGAAGTAAGAGACAGCTAAACCAACTTAAAATACTGCGGGAAAAGCTTCTCAAAGATCAAAGGAACAGTACAGTATAAAAGACTGGGAGAAATAGAAAATACTTTCATTAGGAGGGAAGTGACACATGTGATACTGTTCTTCACAGTCATACTTACTTCACTGTTTCCAACATACTGACACATGTAGTACTGTTCTTCACAATCATACTTACTTCACTGTCTCCAACATACTGACACATGTGGTACTGTTCTTCACAGTCATACTTCACTGTCTCCAACATACATGTAGTACTGTTCTTCACAGTCATACTTACTTCACTGTCTCCAACATACTGACACATGTGATACTGTTCTTCCCAGTCATACTTACTTCACTGTTTCCAACATACTGACACATGTAGTACTGTTCTTCACAATCATACTTACTTCACTGTCTCCAACATACTGACACATGTAGTACTGTTCTTCACAGTCATATTTATTTCATTGTTTCCAACATACTGACACATGTGATACTGTTCTTCACAGTCATACTTACTTCACTGTCTCCAACATACTGACACATGTGATACTGTTCTTCACAGTCATACTTACTTCACTGTCTCCAACATACTGACACATGTGATACTGTTCTTCACAGTCATACTTACTTCACTGTCTCTAACATACTGACACATGTAGTACTGTTCTTCACAGTCATACTTATTTCACTGTCTCCAACATACTGACAAATGTTAAAAAAATAGGATAGGGAGGACGTTGGAGTATTTATTTATTTATTTTTTACATTAAAAACGACTTTCCACTTACATCGTGAGCAAAATAATAGCCAACTTTCTGGGCCCTTTGCTGAGTTATCCCGATAAGGACCCTCGTAACTGGATCAGTTGATAGGTCACAATATTCATCCTGCCGGAAATAATCATGTACAAGATTTGGAGCACCCTCGACTGGCACGTCTTTACGTTTTATCCAGTCGTGGACCATGCTGTGTAGACGAAAAGCTGCGGCTGTAAATGAATTATACGTTGTAGGATTTATGGTGTCGTCATATTCAAAATAGGGTTTATCATATTCCTTCACATAGTGCTCCCCGAGTATAAGTGGTTTGTAGTGTTTGTCAACGATGTGCTGGAACATAGCTCCAATAATCTTTCTGACTTCCTGATAAAGTGTCTCAGAGTCCCAGCCTTTGTTAGCCAGAAGATCAACAAGTCGGTTGTGTTCTCTCATAAATAGGGTATGTAGAGAAGAAATAGCTGGAGTCAATGTGGATCTAGTGTCACCAGCAATAAAGCATCGATTGTTACAGCCTCTGTCAGAACTTCGACACTCTTTGACATCCCTGGGCAACAGTAACAGGTACGAGGAGTGGCTGTCAACTAGAAGCTTGGCTAAAGAATGTATGGAAAATATGTGATATGAAAAAAAAAAGAAACAGATGTTTTCAAGGTGAGTTGAGTCACCTTTTTTTTTTGTTAATATAGTCACAGCACGTTAAGTTTTAATGTTGAGAAAAAATTTGCTCACAACATGAAATACTTAATGCAACCTACGAAATAGATTGTTTGCTCACAACATGAAATACTTAATGCAACCTACGAAATAGATTCTTTGCTCACAACATGAAATACTTAATGCAACCTACGAAATAGATTCTTTGCTCACAACATGAAATATTTAATGCAACCTACGAAATAGATTCTTTGCTCACAACATGAAATACTTAATGCAACCTACGAAATAGATTCTGATAACTGTAGATTGTAGAGAAAAAGAAAAATTTGTAAATTATAACAACCCTTAGAAATGGGATCTCAGGACACGAGAATTCGAGCTCACTAAATTAATAGAACGTTTCTTTTAAATTACATTTTGTAAGTTTTATATTGACGATATTCAAGTGTTACCCTATTTATAAGTTCGCTATCCATCTATCTATTTATGTGTCTCTCTATCCACGTAAAGTAATAAGTTTTGAGAATAAGATAATATATATATGTTACTTTACCTTAATATGAAAATTATTTGAACTGCCTTTTAAATATCGTAAACAATCAGTTGTGAGCTGAGCTCACTTTACTGAAGTTAAGCCTTTTCAACTACCAAAGTTAATGAAGTACGTGTATCCAACAGTTACTGAGATTTGATGTTGATTCGCGTTTAAATCAAAACCAACCAGATCACTGATACCTCCATTTCCTTCTTCTGTTCTTAGTTTCCTCGCCACCTCTTCGGAGTTTCCGTATATATTCGAGGCATCAATAAATGATGTTGAAACGACGAGTTGTTCTCGATGAATGCCTGGAAAATGTTTAACCCTAAAATTACTGAGGGAGCCCATATGGTCAGCGGTTAAAATAGCTTTTACTAAACTGTATATACTTGTATTAGGGACGGCTAGCGCAGATAGTCCTCGTGTAGCTTTGCGCGAAATTCAAAACAAACAAACAAACTAAACAATTATAGAATATTTTTATATGTTCTTAATATCGTCGATAAAAGTAATTTCTATGTGTAACACAATGTTCTAAATAAACACAGGATATCCTCAACCATTCATAAAATCGTCTATAAAATACTACAAAGTTTCGTGGTGGGCAGAGCACAGATAGCCCATTGTGTAGCTTTGTAATTAACTTTAAAAGAAACAAAAGAATCGTTTATTGTTTAGTAAATTGTAAAATTGGGAGTTCGCTATGACTCACAATGTAAAACAAAAAAATATACGGGATCACATATTCTTTGTATATATATAATTTAATATGGAAAACACGATCAAACAAAAATATGCAGTACCAAGTTTACACATATTTTCCTGCTAGGTGTCCTTCGCTGCCAACCTTCACGATTTGGTTCCATAGTCAAGTCTAAAGTTCGCTGCAAGTTTCCGTTAAGCACAGATGTGTAACTGAACGAGGATTTGCTGGCCTCAATTTTTATTAATGTGTCGTTTAATTTCACAAAATATTTCAATGTTCGATATTCCGCACAACCTTATCTTCAAGGTTTCTCTTTCTTCAAAAGTTTAAACTGTTTTAATGGACTTTGATTAATCTCTTCCATCCAGTTCAATATTGTTTTAATTTAGATGTTAGCTAGAGGGAACATAAAGTTAAGGTCAATTAAGTTAGTTATCGAGCGAGTTAAACAAATGTCTAGAAACAAGGCTACATTATAGATACGAGAATCAGTGAAGCAGACAGTCAGTAGTCAGTTTTTAGTTGGTAGCGTGCCGGTAATTTATTTGTTCATTAGTTGTAGTACATTTAGTGAGTACATCTCTGTTATTTGTGAATTTAGGCCTACAAGTACAACTGTGTAGAAGTCTTATGTCAAATACTAACACAATAATATCTTATAAGGTCACTTATAAGAACTGCATCATCAGAGCTGTGGAGGCCTTACAGCTTAAAAATGCAAAAACAAACTGCATAAGTTGCTTACAGATTAGCAAGACACCTTCTCTGGAGATCCTTATGACTTAGGCCAAACAAATAGAATATCTCACAAGATTGATACTGAAGATATAGCCCCAATATGTCAGTTAGCCAGATGACTTTGGCTGAGGCTATTAAAGAGATAGAAGCCACGAAGGAACAAGATGTGACAGAACCGATTTCTCGACGTTGAGCATCACATATTGTACTTATTAAGAAGAAAAATGGATTCGCAAGGATCTGTGGGGACTACTCTAAGGCGAATGAAGTCACAAAGAAGAATGTCTACTAAAGATGGATTCGCAAGGATTCGTTGGGACTGCTGTGAGGCGAATCAAGTCACAAAGAAGAATGTTTACTAGCTGTCAAGAATTGATCTTAAGAGTGGATATTAGCAAGGTGAAAGTCGATAATTAATTAAAGATACGACAGCCATTAACGCAGGATTAAAATATTAATTTCGCGAGCAGAGCTGAAGAGGAACAGCGATTACTCAGCGCCCCTGGTTGTCAAACATGCCCTTTCGGGGCTTGTTTGATATTAAACCAAACTTCCTGCCCAAGTTAGTTAGTTAGCCATTAATGCAGGAAATTAATTATGGCAGTTTGCTATGTTAGCATTTGAATTATGTAATGCCTTTGTAAGGACCTTTGATAATTCATATGATGGACTAAAGATGGTTCTGGATCACTTGAGGAAAGATAACCTCAAACTTAATTCCAAAAAAAAAGTGAATTATTCCATAAAGAGTTGAGTTACCTGGAACACATTTTCAGCAGATCAACTGAAGAGTTGAGTTACCTGGAACACATTTTCAGCAGATCAACTGAAGAGTTGAGTTACCTGAAACACATTTTCAGCAGATCAACTGAAGAGTTGAGTTACCTGAAACACATTTTCAGCAGATCAACTGAAGAGTTGAGTTACCTGGAACACATTTTCAGCAGATCAACTAAAGATTGAAACCATCCAGAACTGACCGACACCAAAGAATCTGTGTGAGGTCAGAAGATTTCTTGGACTGTGCTCTTACTAACATCGTTTTGTAAAATCATCCTCTGGCATGTCTCATCTTCTACACAGATTACTTGAATAGCTAAATAAGTTTCGTTGGACTTCTGATTGTGAACAAAAATTCAACAAGCTTAAGAAGGAATTGGCCACTACTCCTGTATTAGTGTATCCATCTCTGGAATACTGAATTATCTTAGATAAAGATACCAGTGGTTTTGCATTGGGAGTAGTTGTGTCCCAAGTAAAACACGAAAATCAGTACATGGTTGCCCAGTGTAGCAAGGCAATTAATGCTACAGAAAGGAATTACTGTGCAACTTGGAAAGAGCTCTAAGTGTTGTTCGAACCTTAAGACATTTCCATAATTACCTATATGTTTACACTTTGGGCAGATCTTGCAGCACTAAAGTGGCTAGTTAATTTTTGCAATCCATAAGGCCAGATAGCAAAATGGTTTTGAAAACTCCAGTAGTGCCACTTTAACATCGCATATCGACTTAGCCATATCTGTTGAAATGTTGACACAATGTCCCAAACACTATGTGTTACCGAAGAATATAAACACCGTGAAAAGTGTGAAGCACAAGACAGTAAAGACTGCCAAAATAAAGTACAGCAGAGAATAGTCTACTACGTGACGAATGATGATAAAAGCTGATGTGTTCCAACAATCAACTGAAATACCCTCAAGCCAAAGATATAAGTTTGAAACCAATCATTCAGTGGATCAAGATCAAAGCAGAAAGACCCTCGTGGCAAATAGTTGCTCCTTTTACAGCCCGAAGACAAAATTGCATTGGTACAGTGGGATTCATTATGCTTCCAAAAGGGTTTATTATGTTGGAAATAGGAAGATACCAGTGGACAAAAACAACGGCTTCAGTTGGTATTTCACATTATCTACATTCTGAAACCCTATGTCGTCTCCATCAGCTTCCAATGGCTGGGAATGTAGATGTTAAGACACTGAGACCAGTAAGAGAACGTTTCTTTTAGATTGATGTCAAGGATCTGTGGGGAATTGATGTAAAACATGTCAATTATTCTGTGAGTAAAAAAACTCTGCAAAATAAACAGCTCTAGCAGTTACAACAGTAGTGTGTTGGAGCACCACTTGTTAGAATTAATATCGATCCTCTGTCACAGTGTAAGTGCGGAAATAAATACATCGGGGTTGTGATGGACTGTTTCATGAAATGGCCAGAAGAATATTGCTGTTCCTAACCAGGAAGCAGAAACTTTAGCACAGAAACTCACCAATGAATTTATTTCAAGATTTGATGTGCCTATGAATGGAACCTTCTTTACTAATTGTTACCGTTAGTACAAGTTGTGTTTGTAATCTCTCGTGCCATTCCTAGTTTAAACTGTTTTACTTGATTTCCATCCCTATTTTCCCCATAGTTTGATATACTTCGTTACAAGAGTTTGATGTCTATTCTGAACTGTTTTCCCACCTCCGATTTTACATTCTCCGTTACTCCAATATTATCACTATTTTAAACTGTTTCTCTGCTTTTATGTTCTTCTTCAATACATGTTATTGTTAGTGTAATAGTAACAACTGAATGTCCATGAATACCCTCTCGCCAGGGTTGATATCTTCTTTACTGTAGTATAATAGTAATACCTTAATGTCCATGAACACCCTCTCGTCCAGTTTGATATCTTCTTTACTACAGTATAATAGTAACAACTGAATGTCCATGAATACCCTCTCGCCAGGGTTGATATCTTCTTTACTGTAGTATAATAGTAATACCTTAATGTCCATGAATACCCTCTCGTCCAGTTTGATATCTTCTTTACTGTAGTATAATAGTAATACCTTAATGTCCATGAATACCCTCTCGTCCAGTTTGATATCTTCTTTACTGTAGTATAATAGTAATACCTTAATGTCCATGAATACCCTCTCCTCCAGTTTGATATCTTCTTTACTACAGTATAATAGTAATAACCGGATGTTCATGAATACCCTCTCGTCCAGTTTGATATCTTCTTTACTACAGTATAATAGTAACAACTGAATGTCCATGAATACCCTCTCGCCAGGGTTGATATCTTCTTTACTGTAGTATAATAGTAATACCTTAATGTCCATGAACACCCTCTCGTCCAGTTTGATATCTTCTTCTCTATAGTGTTATAACTAGTGTAAACAAGTTTTCTGAGTGTTAATAAATATTCTGTCTCCAGCTTGATATACGGTGTTTACTTTAGTGTTATTTCTAGTTTCAAGTGTTTCACTGGATTTCCATGAATACCCTCTTTTCTCAAGATTGGTAATATAGTTCTATAGTTTTGATTTGTAGTTTAAACTGGCTTCCTGGAATTTCTTTAATAACTTCTCTCTCTCTTCTTTACTACAGTGTATTTCTTACTGTACAGTGATTATGGTCCGATGTTATAAAAACGGTATCCTTAGGATACTTAGACTTGTTTGACTGTCTAGACGGTATCCTTAGGATACTTAGACTTGTTTGACTGTCTAGACGGTATCCTTAGGATACTTAGACTTGTTTGACTGTCTAGACGGTATCCTTAGGATACTTAGACTTGTTTAGATTGTCTAGATTGTTTTTACCTTATAAAGACCTATTGAACTATGAATAATCCTATGATTAAGATGATGATGCTAAATAAAACAGAATGTATAAACTATTAAAACTGTGATCCTCCATATACAGACTTATAACACTGTTTAAACTGTGATTCTACGCTACCGAGGATTGTTAAACTATTAGGATTGTGACACTATTAGTGTTGCGATCCTATGCTATACATATTTGTTAAAATATTAAGATTGTTGTTATCCTACGCTTTAAACAATTGTTAAAATATTAAGATTGTTGTTATCCTACGCTTTAAACAATTGTTAAAATATTAAGATTGTTATTATCTTACGCTTTAAACAATCGTTAAAATATTAAGATTGTTTTCCTACATTATAAACAATTGTTAAAATATTAAGATTGTTGTTATAGTACGCTTTAAACAATTGTTAAAATATTAGAATTCTTATCCTACATTATAAACAATCGTTAAAATATTAAGATTGTTGTCCTACGTTATAAACAATCGTTAAAATATTAAGATTGTTGTTATCCTACGCTTTAAACAATCGTTAAAATATTAAGATTGTTGTTATCCTACGATTTAAAAAATCGTTAAAATATTAAGATTGTTGTTATCCTACGCTTTAAAAAATCGTTAAAATATTAAGATTGTTGTTATCCTACGATTTAAAAAATCGTTAAAATATTAAGATTGTTGTTATCCTAGGCTTTAAACAATTCTTTAAATATTAAGATTATGATCATACGCTATGGAGAATAATTGTTGTGTGTGTTTTATTGTACATGTGAAGTACGCTAATATTGTATATCACAGTATCCGTTATAACCGCTGTGGTGATTTGTTGTTTGTGTTGTGAAAAAGAAATCACGCTAGTCTGTTGACGTTAAAACTGGTTGACTTTCAAGCATGGAGCTAGTCTTTTTTGTTATTTTCAATTTAAAATGTACCGTTATAAGTGACTATTACCACAATGGTGTTAACATTTTAATACCGACTGCGTTCTGATTGCTTCTCATTCTCAACCTTCTATTACAATCGTACAAGTGATTTGGTTTTGATTTTTTAAGTCAATTATTATAAATGCTTAAGTAACAAGAGGTCATATAAATGTTAAACCTCAAGGTATACAATGATATACCAGATTGTAGGACATTTCAGCGCCGTCCTATGAGTGGCATTCGTGCAAGGAATATTTGTGGGTGCATTTTCTCATCCAATTTAACACTATTTCGTACCCCCCCCCTCCCAACTTTCCCCTAGAGTTTCATACAGAGACCAAAAGTTTCTCGGAAAATTATAAATTACTAATAACACAAAACACTACAGAAACTTTTTATACAGTGAGAAATTTATATTTGTTTTTAAATAGTAGAAAATCAAAGTGATAAAAAGTTATATGATGTAATGTCAGATACTTACCCAGTAGCTGTAAATGGCACACACTACTGGTGTATGAAACAGATAACGACCTCACAAACTCCATGCAGCCCCCACCTGTGTACTTGGGATCTTGGTATAGCACCTGGATGGGATAGCATTCCTTGTGAGGATTGTACACCCCACAACACTTTGGAGCTGTTTGTAAAAGATATTTGATGGATTAATTAGCTCATTATACATAATTAGTAGTACCTTTGATTATTTATAAGCTGGTAACTTAGATATTCAAAGCATGCGTCTGGTAGACTGATTCGGGCTCTCACTTTTCACTTTCAAGTCAAAACAAATCTGAAAGGACGGTGAGCAACTGTTTAAGTTTCTATTTAATTTGAATCCAGCTCCGTCTCTCACTTTTCACACTTCCAGAATCTTTGCAGATGTGACTTGCATTAATTTTAAGAAAAAAATGGCTAAAGCAATATTAGGCCTAAGTCGGGATTGAAGCTACGTTGTTGTTACTAAAATATAAGATACGAGGCTCAAACGTAGCGATCCATAATTTAGAACTGTGACCACGGAGAAGAAGAAAAAAAAACAATCAGTAGCACCCGCCCACATCCCGGTGGCTGAGCAGTTCGTCTACAAATGTCTAACGCTCAGAATCGGGGTTTGGTACACGGTGTGCACAGTACAGATAGCCCAGAATGTAGATTTATGGTTAACAACAAATGAACAGTGACATCCATCGCCTACACGGCTATCACTAATATCATAACAAGATTATCTGTTAGTTTATAGTTCTCCTACACGCAGCTGAAAGTGCGGAACGAGTTCAGTGGCATATTCAACTTGAACCTTGGACCTTCGTTATACAGTCCTGTAAGCTAAAAACTAGACAGCGCCCAATCCAACGTTTTTCCAACTAAGTGAACGTTATCTAAAAATCGATATGAAACCTAACTGTTGGTATTATGTTTAGGAAACCAAAAATATGTGTAAAAATATTTCAGAAACTATACAAATTACAGAAAATAAGAACTAGTAACTAAGACGCAGATAATTTTCCTTAAAAAACAGGGTGGTGAATTTGGTTCATTTGGTTGGCCACACTCCTTACCAATAGTTAGGGCATTCGATTCGCAATTTGCGGGTCGCAGGTTCGAATCCCCGTTTCCCCAAACATGCTCGCTCTTTCAGCCATGGGACCGTTATAATGTAGCCCAAGAGTCGGTGGTGGGTGGTGATGACTAGCTGCCTTCCCTCTAGTCTTTCTCTGCTAAATTAATTACGGGTCGCAGGTTCGAATCCCCCTCCCCAAACATGCTCGCTTTTTCAACCATGGGAGCGTTATAATGTAGCCCAAGAGTCGGTGGTGGATGGTGATGACTAGCTGCCTTCCCTCTAGTCTTTCTCTACTAAATTAGGTACGGCTAGCGCAGATAACCCTGCTGTAGCTTTGAGCGAAATTCAAGCCAAACCAAACCTTACCGATGGAGTTATTTCCATTTCGGAAATGTCTTTTGCCACGTCTTTGTGAGAGAAGTTCATTTAGAAGCTCAAGACTTAACCACCAGTAACAATTTCGTAAAATATAATATTAATAATGCAAGAATGAAAGCGTAAGCTCCTGTGATGAGGTGTTTTGGGGCTACTAAGGAATTCAACATTTTGACTTTGCTTTACTTAGTTTCAACTTAATACCTGTATTAAAGGAAGAGCTAACTGAAACTAGGGCTCTGGACGTTACTTATCGGTTAGTGTGCCAGTTGGCGGACATGGAGGTCCATAGTTCGAGCCGTGGTATGCCGCTGTTGACGTTCCGAACTTCAGTTGTGTGAAATGTTATGTGATAATGACAATGCTTTTAGGTTTAGAATAACTGCCTCTGACTGGTTGACCTCCCTCTGGTCAGAAGTTCTAAATCTTGTTCATTTGGTTGTCTGTTCGTAGTGTCGTCTGGAAATGTCGTATCTAAAGTCAATAATTGTTATACTATTTTAACAGATACTTTGATACATTTCCAGCCAACATTACGAACTAGAGTACTGTCATTAGGCCCTCTATCGGCGATATACTTATGTGTTCAGACGTAACGTTTTTTTTTTGTTTTTTTTTCGAAATTAGGTTTATTAACACTCACTTCTGTGTTCAACGCCATAGTTTGTAGAAACTTGTTCTTGATATTGTGGAACAAAACTCATTTCATGGCTAAGAAACTGGGAAAAGTACGTTAACATGGCAGTCACGCCGCTGTATGAATTCTGTTCTGTCTGATCAAGGTTTTCGGTGATTATCAGACTGATGAAGCGAGCATTAGGAAGCTCGTTTCCGTCCAGAGAACGACGAGGCTCCTCTATGCCTACGAACAAAAGAAGGAAAAATATGACCTCAGTTTAGGATAAATTATACGAAATAAAACTGAAAAACAATGTGAAGCAGTAGCTAGTAGATAATATCCTTTTTTTTTTAGCTTCAGTCAACTAATAATCCGAAAAATTGGATCTTCTAAAAAATTGGCACATTAAAATTTGTACGTTTTAGTCTTCAGAACGTTTTATCTTTTTTTAAAATAAGAATCCTTTTAAAAAAAAATCAATTACATGATGCAGATGTATGAATCCTAATATTGAGACATCTTTGAAAACTCCTACAACATTTTAATTATTTTAAATAAGCTTTTTTTTTCATTTTATATTTTAATTATGACTTTAAAAACGTATTTTCTGAAGATATACAGTATTTATTTATCTTCATTTAAAGGTAGCTAGTTTAAAGTTTAAAAGATTAGGAATCAAAGCACGTTGTAAACTTTCATATATAAAAAAAAGCACTTTCAACTTGTTTTTCAGTAACTTTAAGCAAAGCCTTTCAATGGCTGTAAGTTTCTTTAAAACACAGTCATTATATGTTAACCGCTGGGTCAACGGTACGTTTATAGACTTGCAATGTTAACACCTGGTGTTCGATTTCACGAGGTGGCTTGAGCGAAAATAGTCTAATGAATAGCTTTTCTGAATAATCTGAACTAACGGGACATTTTTTGGAAGTGATAATCTCGGGATGAAAATAATTATCAATTAAACAATAGACATGGTAACAAAAGATACTTAAATTACTACACATATTTATAAATAGTACACTGTCACCAACACGATATTAACACATTAATAAACACAATAACCTATCAGTTTAGTAGCCATCATTAAAAATGATTCAATTCACACGTCGAGAATATAAAATAGTTCTTTTCCGGGTTTCATGAAGACGTAGTAAATACAAATAAATTCTCGAAAAGAAATAGTTCCCTCTATTTGATTGATCATACTGTTAAGAAGTATGTAAAAACTTTATTGGGTTGCTACACTTCATATTAACACAGTAGTCTGATTATACAAAGCTGTTGTGTCAGTTCTAACAATAGGAATAATAAAGATAAAGAACACAAAACACTTCATATTACCACAGTAGTTGATTATACAAAGCTGTTGTATCAGTTCTAACAATAGAAATAATAAAGATAAAGAACACAAAACACTTCATATTACCACAGTAGTCTGATTGTACAAAGCTGTTGTATCAGTTCTAACAATAGAAATAATAAAGATAAAGAACACAAAACACTTCATATTACCACAGTAGTCTGATTGTACAAAGCTGTTGTATCAGTTCTAACAATAGGAATAATAAAGATAAAGAACACAAAACAATTCATATTACCACGGTAGTTTGATTATACAAAGCTGTTGTATCAGTTCTAACAATAGAAATAATAAAGATAAAGTACACAAAACACTTCATATTACTACAATAGTCTGATTATACAAAGCTGTTGTATCAGTTCTAACAAT